ACTTCTGTCTGCTGTCAGTCTGAGAAACAGGAACTTTGCCTTCGTGGTGTAATTGTTCTGCTTTACGCCGCGCTGCGTTTCCTTTGGGGAACAGTTTGATGGATGTAAATATTTCATCAGAGCTCGAGGGAGATGGTGTGAATTTTCCTCCTGAGTAATCCTGATACGTTTCTGCGTGAATGTTTTGCATGTGGAAGTGAGGGGGGCTGTTATCATCCGAGCTGTGGAAAGGACACTGTGAGCAGGTGAAGATGATGGATACCGTTTCATCTGAATCACCTACAAACAAAAAATTAACAAAACCTGAATTTTAGTTAAAAAGTTGAAGATAATTCACCTCTACAGGTCACCTTACCTTTGTCTGTCCCTCTGATAGCTATCACGGACGGTGCAGCTGGCACATCAGCTGTGTTCCTGGAGAAAAAAGCTTTTCATTAAAATGTAGAAATCTCTCGTTTAACGTACAATTTAAAGCAAATATTTAAGGAAACTTATTATGTGGCTTTTCATATTAGCTTTTTATGGTTATATTTAATTACATATACATGCTGGACCTTTGCTTGAGGAAAATCTTTTTGTGTGGACCTTGCTAAACTTTATTTAAAAATCACAGGAGAATAACAGCTCAACTAGAGAATTTGCCATTTCCTGCGAAAATGCAGTGTGAATGCTTATTGCTTAAGAATTTCAAGAAAACAGCTGAATAGTAGCTAAAAAAGAACAAGAAAGAAGCTTAAATCAGCAGGAGGAAGCAGAAAGAGCACGTTTGCCTAATTAGACTGAAAGAAGAAAAAAAATTTGCACAAAAAAAGTGTAACAAGAATTCAGAAATCAGCAGAAAACAGCTGAAAAGTAGCTTAAAATTGCAGAAAGAAGCTTCAATTATTAGAAACATAAAGAGCACAGTTGTACTTAATTTAATGGACTTAAAGATCTAAAAATTGTTGATGTGACAGTGCTATGTGTTTGGGTTTGCTTTCAGCTACTATACCAAATTTTAGCTGAATAGCTCTAAAAAGTCCTGAATTATCGTATTTTTTCCTTTTTAGCTAAGGTGGCCATGTTGGATTTTTGATTTGGATGGAGTTTGTGATAGGGAACATTCTCAGCTATAACCTCACCAAATTTCAGCTCTACCTGTATATGTGTAAAAATGGCTGAGTTAAATCCATTCAAAGTAGCATTGGTGGCCATCTTAAATTTTTAATTTTCATGCAGCATTTGATGGGAAACATTGTCAGCTATCAGCACACCAAATTTCAGCTCAATATGACTAAAATTAACAGATTCATAGTATTTTTCCTTTTTTGCTAAGGTGGCCATTTTGGATTTTTGATTTTCAGTCAGAGTCTATTAGGGATTGTTGTCGGCTACCAGTACCGCCAAATTTGTACCCAATTAGGCTTAAAGAAGAAAAATGAGCACAAAAAAGTGAAATTTATCTGAAAAAAGCAGAAATTTGTCATAAACAGCTGAATAGTAGCTAAAAAAGCAGAAAGAAGCTTAAATTACTAGAAGAAAGTCAAGAGAGCATGTTTTTGCTGAACTAGGCCGAAAAAAGTTAAAATTGTTGCAAAAAATGTGGAATTTGCTGAAAAAAATTAAAATAACATAAAAACAGCTAAATGGTAGCTGAAATTTCAGAAATAGCTGAAACTTGCAGAAATAAGCTGAAAGGAGCAGAACAAGCTGAAATGAGCAAAAATAAGTTTGAAGAAGCACAAAAATGTTGAAGTTAGCTGAATAAAGCAGAAGAGCACATAACAGCTGAAAAAACAGCTGAAATTAGCTGAATTGTTCAAGAAATATGCAAAAGGAAGCTGAAAGAAGCTGAAGCAGAACAAAATGTGAAAGGAGAAAGGTTGTAAACAGATCTAAAGATATGAGGATGTAAAATGAGCTCAGTTCATTTTCTATGAGCAAAAAAATGGCAGAAAAGGCTAAATATTTCAAAAAGCTAAAGTTGCACCAATACCAAAAGTCATAGCAGGATTGTCCTGAATGAGCCGAACGTTCTTCTTTCAAAGCTTTTACACAATTAGTGAATTCAGTAGTGATGAGACCAATTTAGTTTGTTTCCGTTTAGCACCCGGACATTCTGAGATTAGCAGTTAACTTAAAAAGCAAAGGACTAAATCTTAAGCTGCAATCATCTGGTAAATCTGGGGCCATGTTTAAAACTGGAAACGTGCTCACGTTTACGCAAAATAATAGCTGATAAACAACATCCAAGTTTAAATCACTTACATGAACACATTTCCTGTTAAATATATAGTTTTGTTATTCTTCGATTACAGTGCTGCATTTACAGGTTTAATAAATGAACAACGGCTAACGGGAACATTTGTGGTAATAGAGGATTACAGTAAGAATATTACTGTACGTTTTTGGTTCTTCGGCACATTCTCTTGCTGCTCTTGTGATTTTCCACATCTCCTGACAGCTTGGCTTCATTTGTAGACGAGCGGATCGGAGCACCTGAGGCTGCTGAGCTCCAGGTACCTCACTGGAGACATCTGGCGTTTCTTCCACAGCGACGGACTCACAGTTCTCTGTATACAAGTCTGTATTTGTCTCTGGCGCTTCTGGTTGGAAATTATGCAGCACCTCCGTACCGTTGCCCGTTTCAAGTTTTGTCTGCCGTTCCTCTGGTTCATTTCCAGGACTGAGCTCATCGCTATGGAACGACTGAGCACTATTTCCTGCGTGCACATCTTGACCCAGGCTCTCCTTCCGCAATGCAAACGTTTTCGTTAGCGTTTCCAAAGCTTTAGCGACACCCGCCGCTTCACTCATTTCCACAGTTTGCATGCTTGTAACCTCCTCACATGCAGCGTTATCCACATTTACAGCCTCCATCTCTTCCTCATAACAATCTGTCTGAATGTGGACCTCGGCCGATCCCATCGTGTCCTCAACTGGCTCAGACGCTCTGACTTCCACTTCAGTGCAATAGGCTACAACACTGTAATGGTCCACCCCAGCAAGAGTGACAGGGCTTGTTACTGTGTTTGTGTAGTTATGAATGGATTCCTGCCCAATGGAGAAGTTTGTCTTCTGTGAAGGAGGAACTGATAAAGCAGACATGATGCAGCTCCCAATGTTAGAAGATGGCCCATCTGCGATAAGAAACACACAATTAAACAAGACACTATTTCTCAAAATGGGAAAAACTGGTTGGCTTTAAACGTACATGTCATCTTCAGTAGTCCTAGGTTTTTGCAGTGCTTAAAGATTGACTTCAACTCCTCCGGTGACGACTGAACACATTCCTCTGAAACGGAAGGAGCAGAGGCGAGCCAGGCAGCGGTCTGCAAGAAGAGGGCATTTGTGTTCACGTTGTCAAAGCTCAACATACATAAAACAATCTAATGGGGTCGATAAATACCTGTTTCAAGTCTGGTGCTGGGAGCATCTTTTCTAGCTTTGAGAGCACCTCCCACAATAACACTTGTAGAGCTGCATCATACTGCGGACCATATTCTACAGGGAAAACCTCCTGTAATAGATAATGCATCTTTCATCCTCTTACTTTCATGGAAATAAGTTAATAAATAAAATGTGCATCACCTGAAAGAAATATGCCCTCTCAGTCGGGTTGTTCAGCAAGCTCTGAACAAGAGCAACAAAAGTGTATTCTTTTATTTTCATCTCTGTATCCACAGACTGAAACAAAACAGATTATATCATTAAACAGTAACTGACTGAACAGTAATTATTTGATTTGCTGTGTTCCTTTAGTGACCCTACATCTGCATTATCACAGGCAACTGGGAATTTCTCCAAATAGCTCCTGATTACTTGAGAATCAACATCGCCTCGAGATGAACCTTTGCATAGCTCTAAAATCAACTGCAGCACAAACAAAATAAGTTATCACGGAGGCGGGACAGCAAAAATAAACAGCATGTCGTGTATTTCATGGATCACAAATTGCTGGTCACCCTGGCTCTTAGTCCGAGGATGAGCTGTGCTCTCTGTCTGTGGTTGATCAGACCAGGAACTGCCTCCGTCACCATGGAAACAAACTCCTGCAGCCTCCCATAATTCATCACGTCTTTCTGCTTGGCCATGTGCCACATCGTAGCAGACATAAACTGCAACGGGGGCACGAGGAGGCGAAGGGATGACACAGGCAAGATGGGGTCTGAAACAGAAAGGTGTAATGTAAGAAATGTTCCCTGGAGGACAGCAGTGAGCAGTGCAGATCATCTGAACAGCAGCAATAAACTAATTTTATAATATAATTTGGGAATTTCTATAGTCATCTCTGCTGAGATAACATATTATAAACAAATTAATCAGGTCAATAAAACAAGAACTGATCAATATTTAATATGTGAACAGCTACAAGCGTATGAACTGGTATAATAGCTGGGACGACTTTCATCATAAAATTGATAAATCTATCAGCATTTTTTTATACTATCATCCTTAGGTGTAATATTTTATAGTGTAAAAAACAACAACCTTTAAACCAAATCAACTTCCATTACACATCAACAGTCTGTTTAATATAGTATGATGCCTTTAAATAGACGGAGCCCACTGACTGAGTTAGTAGTTTAAACTCAGTCTGCATGAAAGCTAACCAAGATCAAGTGATTAATATACGTACCTCTCATTTTTTCATTTGGCATGAGAACCTCCATTGGTGCTTCACGCCTTTCTGGAGTCTTGTAGAAAAAGGATTATATTTTTGTTGTTTACGTTTTGTGGCTAATGCGCTATTAGAACGCAATAATCGCTTCCTCAACTCTCTTTAGACGTTTCCGCTTTTCAAAATAGTCATACAAATGCAAAATATTTCCGGCCTATGTAATATAAATGTAGTGTTCATTCCCATTTATTTTCAGAACGTAAAGATAATGGGTAAATAAACATGATAAAAAGTAACTCATTACAAGTTTATAATTTTGACTCGGTATATTTCAAACATGAGACTTCACAATAAAAGCCCAGCTCGCAAGTCTCGCGATTTCCGGTAGCGGCGTAATGACGTAGCAAGTCACGCAGGGGGTCACATGAACTGTTTTTAATTGCAGCTAACGTAATGTGACGTTTTGTACCCATTTCTTGTTTAAATCGTTTGTCATAAATCCTAAGGTTCGCTTTCATTTGCAAGAAATCTAAAAATACAAGATGGACGAGGACGGTCTACCAATCGTGGGGTCTGGTGTTGATCTTACTAAGGTTTGTTCTGTGAAGGTAGCTAACATTAGCATAGCGAAACATCAGAAACACTGCATCTAAGTATTTTCTTTTCATTATTTTAATACTTTTCTCAAAACTACTTTCATAGTCAGTTGTCCTCTTGTCGTTTATTTTAAACTACCAGCAGATAGTTTTAAGTATTAGAAAAGCAGAGAACGTCTTTTCTCTGAGCATCGGTGTATTGTTGAAATATGTTACTCATTAGATTTGGTGACCGGATATGCAAGGTTTCGCAGACGCATTCATGTTAAAATCTGCTTTCAAACCGCCTGTCCTTTCTTTTACTCTTTAGGTTCCTGCTATACACCAGAGAAGAATTGTCGCCTATCTCAATCAGTTTGTTGTCCACACGGTTCGGTTCCTTAATCGATTTTCCACCGTGTGTGAAGAGGTTGGTGGGTTTGTTTATTTTCTTTTTAATCTGTGTTTCTGCTTTCTCAGTGCAAGCACATAAGCAACCACACTTTAAACTTCCTTTTTCTTCAGAAACTTGCAAATATATCTCTCCGGATACAGCAGATCGAAACCACGCTGAGCATTTTGGAAGCTAAGGTGAGCGATGAAGCATCATCAGTACTTCTGTATGGTTTTTATAACATTATGCACTTTTTATTAATGGATGGAGTGACGTTGTCTTGAGCAGTTGTCCTCTATTCCCGGCCTGGAAGATGTCACAGTAGATGGACTCAATCAACAGCACCATACGCAGACTAACGGACCCAGCAGTACCAGTCAGAACCAAACTGATGGTCCAGTAACAGGAGCACCTACTCCCTCAGAGGTAGGATTTAAGACTTGTTTGCAAGCACGAAAGCTTTGATAGCCATCAGTTCTTTGTTTCGAGTAAACAGTTGAAACCTGCCGTAGGTGAAACTTGTTTGTTGTGTAGTTTTAATCGCTAAAGGGCCAACGACTGTTCCTTTTTATGATGGTTGCATAGTCAAGGTCAAGGTCCCTTTGTCATTCGCATCGCATGTGGTATATGTGGTGGAACGAAATTGTGTACACAGGGTCCCAGTTAAATCCAACAAAAGTATAAATTGTAAAAGAAAAAACCGTAATAAGATCCAAGATATGAACTAAGAAATGCACTAAACGAAAAATATGCTAAACGCTTAATAGTGCAAAAACAATAATGCGCCAAACAGCAGCACGAACATGAGTCTGTGTGAGCGGATGAGTACGAATGAATACAGCAGCATGAAATAAATCAGCAGCATGAAATAAATCCGCATCATGGATAGTCAGCAGCACATACTGTATCAACAATCAAGTGGCATTACAGTGATATATATATATTTTTTTCCAGTGATAATCCTGATTAAGGATTCATGAGTCTAACAGCTTGATGTAACTGATTAATAATGTATTGCTTCATGTAATAGTGATTGTCATATAGCATCTTTACCATGTGCATCACACTCTAGACGGAATTTAAAAACATTTTCAAATGGTTAAAAGCCACTTGTTCCACAGTGAGAGAAGCTAGTCAAAAGCAAACGATCAGAACAGATGCCAGACTTTTCAAGAGTTTACATTCCAGGAAGGTCAGTCTGACTGTGCAGTGTACAGAGAAACTGTTTAACACAAACGAACAAAAAAGTCTTGTTGTTTTCTAGCAAATCTATAAAATGCTAGAAGTACACTTCAGGCTCTACAGGCCTAAGCATGTTAAATTTTAAGTTACATAGGAATAATTTAAAATGTAAAACAAACAAATGGGGCATGTTTCGAAACAGACTCCCGGAGAAATGATGTCCTTAAAATACAGCATCTTAAAAGAACACAACAGCTCAGTTTAGGTTGGCAAACTTACATTTGTGCGAACCACAAAACCAAAGCCTCAACCCAGCTGTAAAGCAAAGTAGTGGAGATGTGATGATGTGGGATTGTTTTGCAGTCACAGGACCTGGACACTTTGCAGTAACTGAATCGACCATGAACTCTTCTGTTTACCAACGTATTCCAGAGTGAAATATGATTAAATTAATACGATTAAATCGGTGCGTGTTAAAAATAAGCATTTCTGTGAGCTGAGATGAAGACGTATCCTGATGCACGCTCAATAATCCAGGTAGAAAAATCTAACAAAGTTAAGCCAGGTCCTCTGGACGGATTCAAAAAAGTAAACTTTAGACTTTGTCAGTCTGATGAGCTGCAGTAAACTCAGTCTTATAAATAGCCCCTTGTCAAAGTGGAGCAACCATCATGAGATGAAGACAGTCTTCAAATGTCCAAGAAGTCACTCTGTGTCTTTGTAATTCCAAAGTCACATTTTTTAAGCTTCTACATAAGCTTTCAGAAGTAGATGTCGCTGTTTTTGAATCACAACCTTATTTATGATTTACATCTTTCGTGTTGCAGCCGGCTCAGTGCTCAACGGAGGCTGCACCTGCACGAAAAGCAGAAGTGGCTGCAGAGAATGTCATGACTGTAGCGAAGGACCCACGTTATGCCCGTTACCTGAAAATGGTTCAAGTGGTAAGTATGCAGCATTTTTTTTGTTTGTTTTTTTTGTTCATGGTGGGGAGTGTTTTGTGTCTTAACATTATGGCTTATCTTAGGGGGTACCAGTGATGGCCATTCAGAATAAAATGACGGCGGAGGGCTTGGATCCCAGCCTACTGGAGTGAGTGATTTCCAGTTAAAGTTCTGATCTCGTTCCAATACTTTTTTCTACTCATTTTAATAACAAACCATTTCCTTTTTCGCTAACAGCACACCTGATGCCCCTGTGCCGGATGGAGCGACGAGAAGCACAGAGGATGAAGATATGACGACCACCAGCTCTGACAGTGAATCATCTTTTAGCGACTGATATCTTCTTTTTGCGCTCGTCACTGCAAAGATACCTCGGAAGGCCGTTAATCCTTATGTGCTTCTGTCTGTATTGTGCCTATGAAGGACACTAATGAAAAGCTTCTAATGAAGTTGCTAAATTGATTGTAATTTTCCTGTAAATGGTCAGTGACCTTGATATTAGTCTATCATTTGCCTTTTCCTTTTTAAAACATATTTTGAAACGCATGTCAAAACACGGCAGGTTTTCTGCAAAGTAAATGTTATGGTGTTGGGAGGTCCTCGGTGGTGGCACTCCTCTTCCCACATCCTGCTGCCCGTTCTGTTACTCCCTCACCAAACGGGTGGTCCAGAGCTGCATTGGTGTGTAGTTACACACACACACACAAGCCGTCATCACAAATCAGTTGTGTTGAGCAGTGTTTTGTAAACGGACACATTTTCACACATCAGTTGCATTTTATCGGCACGAATGGATCGTCCTTTGGCAACTCGTATGTTAAAGTGTAGCATCTTGGGGGTTGTCTGTGTGTGTTTACATGTTTAAAGAAGTCATAGTAGATCTGTGGAGTGACCGCACTGTTGCTGGTTGGAGCTAAATGCACCACTCCTCTACATACTCACCAACTCAGCACTGTGACTACCTGCTCAGAGGTGTAGCAGTAGTGGATCAGCTGCAACCCTTATTCTACAGGTGTTTTACTTCTGGGAGAAACTAAAGCTGTAGAGAAACTGTCCCACCATCAACACTATTGTGTGGTTTCCCCTCCATGTTGCCACAGCAACCCTTGCCTTACTGAGGCATGTCCAGTACAGTAAAGCTGTGGTGTGTGGCAGCCAAAGATTGAACCGTTTAGGTTCTGTGGATTGTAAATTGAGACCGGGGCCTCAGCTCATCAAACATGTTCGGGCACATCCTGCAGAAGCTCGATCAGATGTAGATCTAGGGACTTTGGAATCTGTCTCTTTGTTGCTATTCTCAATTTGTTGCTGCACGTATTTGATGACTCATGGGATGCAAAGATGTTTGGAAGACGATTCATGCTTTTTATTGTCCTGGTTAATCCGGAGGCTTTTTTTTTTGTTATCTTCTTTTGTTTTGTTTTAGTTTAAGACTTAAGTGGAAAAATCCCGATACTGTGATTGTTAAATATGTAAAAAATAATGATAATCCTTCAGTCACAGCAGCATTCTGAAGCAATTTTAAGTCATGAATCTTGCAAATATAAGTTGTGTTGAAAGTACACGGTTCCTTTCTATTTTTAAAATGCAAATAGGTTCAAAAATATATATAAAAATAAAAACTTATTTTATTTATTTACATATAAAACAAGTGGGATTTGCATGAAATCTGATCCCCATGTCTGCAAACTTGATTGTATTATAATAAAATTTATAATTTTGTTTTGCGTTTTTAGAGTTGGAGTTGCCATTGCGCTTCACACATTTATATTTTTAGATAATTTTAATAAAAATACTCTAAACTGCTGCATTAGACTTACCGTTCAATGTCAAAAAATACATTTTTGTTTCATGTACTTGGACAATGTTTTTCCTTTTAACTATATTTGTCTTCAAATGTACAAGTTTTTAATAATTTGATGTTAAAGCAACAATCTTCTAAACTTTGTACGGAAAAAGTTGCACTAAGAAATACATAAACAGTCACAAATGTAAATCCAAACTTTACAGCAGATGTCTTAAAGTGTAAAAAAAAAAAATGTAAGTGCCACGAATGTTTGAAAAAGGGGTTAGTGAAGCTCGACAAGAATTATTCAATCTCATTTTTGACTAATAAAAACTCAAAACTGTTATCAAAAGTGCAGTTTATTTGTCAGATAAAATATGAAAAATAATCTTTCAACAGTACATCGTGCAACAAACAAAGTACAAAATGAGTTTCTATGTAATCACTATTTAGAGTGAAGAGGTTGACAGGATTTTTCTATATTTAATTCTTTAAGAACGCTGGTTATAAAAGTAAAAAATGGTTATATTCAGTTTGGTTAACACTTGGGCACAATAACTGGACGGTTTTACCTGAGTTTCCAAATGTCAAAGGGAAACTACCTCCTGATTGTACTTTGGTATATCACTGTATCACATGAGCTGGTGGATTTGTTCCAATGGGCTTTACTGTTTCTGTTTTTATGTCTTTTAGTTGAGTGCAGCTTGTGACTCGGGCTGAAACCTGTGAAATTAGGAGCAGCGATGAACTCTAAATTTTAGTTTTGTTTCAGTAAAATGTTTTAACTTTAATTTCGGCTGTTTGATGGATTACTCTTTTCTTTTTCTTTTTAATTGCTATGGGAGAAATGCAGCTGCAGAACTGCCTTAGTGCTCTTGAGTTTTATCTGCAGTGTGTAAATGCTTTGAAATGATACAAGTTTTCAGCCACCTCAAGCGAATTATGGCGTTTTTGTGTTAAATTAGCCATCGTCCGCTAAATGTGCTGGAACAGATTTCTACCTGGAGGGCGAGGAATCAAAGCACCTTGAAGCATCTGCCTGATCTTCTGCAGGAAAACCAAGTTCAAGTCGTGCATTTCTAACTTCTGTAGACTTTCAGTTTTCAGTTACGTCTGATTCAGCCTTTGCTGACTTTTCAGCTAAGGACATAGCACCAATCTAACAAAAAGAGCTGCCCAAACACAACTGATTATAATAAATCAGCTTAAAACCTAATTCTATTCATCAAATGCTTGTATTGGTTACAATATTTTTCAGATTATAAGGCGCATTAAGCGAAACAAGTTCATTTTGACAGATTTTTGAGCGCTGTGTACCGCATAAACTCTTATTGAGATCAATAAGCACAACCAGAATTAATACACACGGTGCACCAGATTATAAGGCTCACTGTCAATTTTTGAGTGAATAAAAGGATTTTAAGTGCATCTTATTATCTGAAAAATATGGTATAAATACAATATCTTGGCTTTGTTTATTTTAATTTAATTTAAAGTTTTCTTATTGTAGTTGACTTTTATTGCTGATTTGCTAATCATTGGCTAATGTCTAACAAAGAATATAACAATTTAGGTAGTTTTTAAAGAAACAAAGTTTGATTTGACACGAAAAAAGGCCTCATCCATGGAGGATAGCTACCTCTGTTCATATCTAAAGTATTACAATTAATAACATTTATATGTCGTTCAAAATAATAAGAAAAAAATCTTTGAGGAAATATCAGCACCTAATAAAATAAAATTTCAGTCTTGTATAAAAAGTACACTGTATAGGAAAATCTACAGTCATGTAAACTGAGTAGTTTGAAGGGTACTTTCGTTTCTCATGCACTGTGATCATGTGTTCATTGTGATGGACTTCTCTTATTAGTGGTCACAAGCCTCACAGGATGTGTCACGTAGGCGTTGCAACATTTGAGAAAAGTGCAAACTAAGTTTGACCACATGCAAACACTAATTACACATAAAAGTATCAGACTGGTCATTCTATAACATCCCACCAGACAGACATTTATATAATATCTATAAATAACAATGTGGAAAAAAACTAATCGATTATAAAATCAGCATGTGGCAAAAACTACATATTTGTGTAAATTGTTTAAGAACTCTGCAAAAGCAAATTTACATAAAATACTAAAAATAATCCTGGCGAATGTTCAAAATGGCTCCTCATATACTGTAGTCACCTGCAAGGTAAATCGCTGTAGGGTTATAAAAAGAAGAGACAACTTTTTAGAAAACAAACAACAATATAAACAAGGCAACAAATCTTTTAGTAAAGTCACTCACTTTGAAATCATGAATGTACGTGAAGAAGAAGAAGATGAAGCTGAAGGCAACAATCCACTCGCAGATGGCGCTGGTCAGGTGGAGGGGATAGCCCTGCATAGAGGGACGCAGTGTAAAGTGAAATATTGATAGGCTACAGGAGGAAAAGCTAATATATGCTCTGCTCCATTTGGATAAGAAGTCATAAATCAAACCTGGAAAGGAAAACAAACCGACTTAACTGTGGTCCGGTTGCAAAGTACAAAATCAAAGGAATGTCTCAAACACTGTAGCTACATATTCACTAACAGAGGCTGTTCATTATGTTTTGCCAGTGATTTATTGAGATGCAAACTAATAGTAGTTCAAATAAAGTAATAAAGTTGTTATTTTTTACTGAATTTATTTATTTTGAGTTTGAGGAAGCCATTTTTTGTAGACCATGACATTGTATGCCATAAGCTCTCACACACTGGTTTCTCAGATCACACTATTGGTTGGTACTCTAATTATCTCTCAGGTTGAAGGCAATGTGTTCAACATAATGGTACTTCTTCCAGCTATTTAACCGTCAATAATGGTGTACCACAAGGCTCAGTATTAGGACCCACCCTCTTCACAATCTACATAAGTAATGTACATGTAGGTCAGATCATTCCTGATGCATCCCTACATTTCTAGGCCGATGACACAGTTGTTTATTGTCGAGCTTGAACAGTTGCTAAGGTTTTCCATCTTTTTTAGTCTGGATTCGACATCATCCAGTTAGATTTGTTCCATCTCAAACTGGTGCTAAAAGCTGCTAAAAACCAAAGGGATGTTTTCAAACAGGAAGTCGGTCCCAGCAGTTCTTCCTTCTATCTTATCTATAAATGGTGTTTTTGTTGAGTTTGTTTATCCTTACAAATACTTTGGAATTTTGGTCGATGCACATCTCTCTTTTAAACATCATGTCGAAAACTTGGTAAAGAAACTGAAAGTTTTTTTTTTTTTTTTTTTCAGAAATAGATCCTGTGTAACTCTGAATCAGGTCTCTCTTGTAAATGAGTCCTCGAGGCTCAGTGGGATTTACTTGTCTAAATAAAGGTTGAATGAATGCTAGGAAACACCTTGTAACTGCTACTTTCCTTCCCTCCACTGACTACGGTGACATTATGTACAAGACTGTTCCTGTAAGCTCCTTGCAGATGTTGGGACACTGCCTAACACGATGCTCTAAGATTCATAACTGGCTGTAACTACCGTGCCCATCACTGCACCCTGTATTCACTGGTTAACTGGTCATCATTAACTTCACGTAGACTCTCTCACTGGTTCATTTTTATCTTTAAATCACTTCTTGGTCTGCTGCCTTCATACATCTCCTCCTACATGTCATATCATCAGTGCAGCTACAGCGTGTGCTCTCAAGACATCATTACCTGCAGTGTCCCATCAGTGCGAACCAAATTTGGCAAAATGGCCTTCTTTTACTCCGCTCCTGTTTCCTGGAACACCTTGCAAAAAAGATCTGAAGCTCTCGACCTTGACCTCCCCAGTTCGATGCAAAAATTAACGCAGACATTTTCCTGTTTTTAGTATTTTTCACTTTTTATAATGTAGTTTGTCTTTATTAAATTTTATATCACTTATTTTATTTACTTTACATTTTATTGACTTTCATATGAGTGTTTATTGTGTGTACCTCATTTATGTTTTTTGTTTAAAACAGGTCTCTCTTGTAAATGAGTCATCGTGACTCAATGAGACTAACCTGTATAAATAAAGCTTGAATGAATTTTGGAGGCCAGCACGGTGGCGCAACTGGTAGAGCTGCTGCCTCTCAGCGAGCAGGTCCCTGGTTCAAACCCCGGTCCAGGAGCCTTCTGGGTGGAGTTTGCATGTTCTCTCCGTGCATGCGTGGGTTTTCTCCGGGCACTCCGGTTTCCTCCCACAGACCAAAAACATGCATGTTAGGCTGATTGGTAACTCTAAATTGTCCCTAGGTGTGAATGGTCGTTTGTCTCTATGTGACCCCGTGATGGACTTGCGACCCGTCCAGGGTGTCCCCCGCCCCTCGCACAGTGATTGCTGGACATGGGCACCAGCGACCCCCGTGACCCAAAATGGAATAAACGGGTAAAGATAATGGATGGATGGATGGATGGATGAATTTTGGAGTTTGAAGTGAGTGACTTGTTACAACTTTCATCTTTGATGCATCCTTTTTTTTACGCATTAAAACTAACAAATTATAACTTCAAATGTGACATGGAGCTCAACAGTAATTATTTTGCTTATGTCATTAAAATAAAGTGAGTGGTGTCAGTATGGTCACTTTAAAACAAAATGCTTTAAAAGGTAGGCTGAAGCTCAATAGCAACAGATTAATATGCTAATTTTAGCATTTAGCTTAACATTTAGGCAAAATGCTAACATTAGCATTAGGAGGTCCATTTGAATTTGCTCGCTTGAAAGTTTTTAACTTCCAAGTATAAATAAAACATCTGTTGATCCAGTTGAAAGTCATAAAAACGTTGGAATTCATTGTTCTTGTCGAGCAGGCTAACAATTTTTAGTTGCTGTATCGTAACGGAAACATACTGTTTAGGCATTTTATAAAGTTTAACAGTGTTTTGCTGTGCACCATGGGTACATAAGCATTGCATATTTTTAGCTTAACATTTCATTAAATTATAGAATAGCTGGATTCAGCCTGTAGATAACATAGTTCACTGAATAATGCATCATGTGCAACATTTCTGAGAGGAAATAAAAAAACTTTGTGGATAATTTCAATGTGGAAACTAGTGGGCTGCAACAGCAAACATCCACTTAGCAGTATCAACAAGTTGCTACAAGTTTCTTGGAAACTTTGCTCACTTTTTATGTTGTGTGTATAGGTGTGCATGACTCAGTGTTTCAGTACCACTAGCTAGAATAATTGGGGACTGCATAGTATATGCAGACACCTATTATTATCCACCTGACTTGGGTTTCTTAACTTTATTTACTGTATATCTTATACACTCTTCCATCAACTTTAATGCAGCCTGAACCGCAAGGTGTACCCCTATAAATTTTATATCAAAACGACAGGCTCGGCTCCACGATGTGTGCTACTACTTTTAATGGCATTTTGAGTTACCATGGCGACATTTTTTGCTAACAAAAATGCCATATTTCCCCATAGGAAATGACCGAGAGAACATATGCTGCTGTCAAGTCCCATGACTTACAGTGCAGATGTCCCTGAAGAAAACAGAAAGTCACTGCTGGATTTGTTTGAACTCACAGAAAGTAATCATCAGATAAATGTCTATTAACATTTGGAGCCATTTTGTTTCAAGATGGCTGCCACAGCTACCTCAGCAAACACAAAATGGGCTACAACTCGGTCATTCTTTGAGATGTAGAGCTGAAATTTGGTGAGGTTATAACTGAGAACGTTCCCTATCACAAACTGAATCAAAAAAAAAAAAAAATCCAAGATGGCCACCTTAGCTAAAAAGGAAAAATTACGATAACTCAGCCATTTTTAGAGCTATTCAGCTTAAATTTGGTATAGTGGTAGCTGAGAGCAAACCCCAACGCATAGCACTGTCAAATCACAATTTTAAATTGGCAGCAGCCTGGCAGTCCTCGTCAAAGTTTCTCCAGGAACTTTTCAGTGTAGATTTTACTGTCTAAAGAGACTACAACGTTGTTTGTTACCAAAGGATGATTGATTCCTGTTAAAGGCTGATGTCACAGAGAGATACAGCCCATATTATCAATGTTCATTTCATGTGTTAAAATCAAATTTGACCTAATGGGTTTAAACTTGAGCTCTTTAAATGCATCTAAGGTGAGGGTCCAGCGCTTTCTGTTGAGCAGTCTTCAGTTTGATCAGTTTTATGGTTTAAATGTGTAATCGTTAAACATTCAGAGTTGCAGCTCTTTTACATTTCCTTTCTCAGACTCTTACAAAACGGTGTGTTTATGTGAACACTGACACCAGTGACACTAATATTTTGCCGTCATAAAAACATACCGAAGCTTTCTTTATGTCTGTGGTTTTCCTGTGCATTTAGAAACGTGCAGCCTTTGAAGCTCATAGGTGCAGACAGTTAGAACGCCCAGAAGTCTTTGTGGCTCAAAGGATGCAGAGAAACAAAATGATGATTTGTTAGCTCCATTTTTTGCCTGATTTTATAAGAAAAAAAAAATGACTGTGAGGAGTTAGTTTGAGGCATTTGTGGCTGGATTGTGTTGATGTCAGTCTAATTCTCCATGTTACGTTGTTGCCTAATGAGCTGGGTTGTAATATTGCTGTTAACATTATGAGATATAAACTAAAAGAAGTAGGCATTTGTTGCTGCAGCTATCATCCCTCTTTATGTGTAAAGCAGCCATATTGGATTTAGAGGTCAAGGCTGGTGGTGTGACCCCAGAAACACTACAGGAGGGATGAAACGCTATTCATCCTTGAAACATCCACCCCAACACTTGACACCCCAATGATTATAAACCCATGTGTGCTCAATAAAAGAGAAATAACTCAAAACATGATTCATGGTAGTAGCTGGGAGTCATCCCCAAAACACACGTTGAAATTTTGCAGCTTACCTCGTCATCTTTGTTCCAATGCATTGTGTCTTGATTGCTTAAAACACCACATATTATAGCTGGAGTAATGTTTAAAGAAAAATGTGACACTTTAAAACACACATGACAAATGCATGCAAAGTGAAAGGACTCCAACAAAACACATTTTGCTGATTTCTTTTTAAAGGATACTGGGAAATATCACAATGAAGGCTATGACTGCGATCCCCACACGTATTACACACACACACTTGGAGCAGTCATACGGATGGGCTTTCAATGATATGCAACACTGGCAGATCATGTAGAGGACGCCGGAAATAAAAAACATCAAGGCTCCCACATCGTGGACATATCTCACTGCCGTTTCCTGCAACCAAAATAAAAAATAATAAATAAAATTGTGTAATAGTAAAAGTATTTTCTACTAGATTTAAATTTACACTGCAGGATCTCTGAGGACATACCTGAAAAGTTGCAACTATGGACATTCCCAAACAGGAGAGCATCCCAAACAAAAGGGAGGCTATATTGCAGCATGGACTCACCACACTGTTTTCCTCAATCAGCTTCTCCACGAACTTGTATCTGGCATATATGGTACATATTCCTGCGCAGAAGTCACATTGTATGCTAACCACAAACCGCTCCTGACTCAGTTTTACAGTCAATGCTTTCATTTTCTTCACAAAAAGGGGAAACATAAGTAAGCAGCATTGTTGGAAAGTTTGCTTCCTCCCGTGGGAGAGTTGTCTAACAGGGCAGAGATGAATGAAGGGATACCTGCACACGAACAGATGAAGGTCATCAGGCTGAAAAAGCAGCTCTCCGGGGGGATTGCACCCGTGTCACTGAGAATAAAAAAGGCAGATTAATAGTCATGTCTAAAAAAAAAGAGAGTGATACTTTACTGTGTATTTACCTAACCTAATGATAAAAATATATATGATTTATGATAACTGTTGTTTTATCATATTTGAAGGTACTGCAATGACAAAAGTACAAATCTTCATAAATTAAGGATTCCTTGAAGGAGCGCATATTGTCTTATTAAATTTAAATAATCTTTTGTTGAGAAATGACAGAGTTGCAGTCAAACATTATGGGCAATGTAAATGGCTATCAGCTATTAACACACCAACTTTCATCCGTGCCACTTTACAATAAGGCTCCCCTATAGATGGCTAATAAATAGTTTATAGATATGTTATTAATTCCTCTATAAACACTTTACAAATCCTTAATAACTGCTTATTATGCATTATTTAAGGGTGAGAAAGAAACAAAACTGGCCAGTTTCTTGCCAAATAGTGAGTCAAATACGTTCACCTATACAGTATATTTCATGTAGAGTTGTTATATGAGTATAAGTAGTAACTTAGTCTGAAATGTTTAATATAACATCTCTAGATGAAATATATACGTGGCACATTTGGCTCACTATTTGGCAAGAACCTGGTCAGTTTAGTCTCTTTCTCACCCTTACTTAATGCATAATAAGCAGTTATTAATGATTCATTAAAGTGTTTATAGAAGAATTAATAATATATCTTTTTATTAGCCATTCATAAGGGGTGTCTTATCGTAAAGTGGTACCCTTTCAGCTTCATATCTGTCAAACTGGCTGAACTGTAGTTGTTTTTTTAAGGTCAGCTTTGCTCACAGAATCTGAACTTTCAAGCCCCCAGTGTAAAACTGTACAGCTGTACAGTAGCTTCCTCTTTGTTTAGGTTAAAGGTCTTTAACTTAACTTTACGAAAGTCAGAAATTTGTTTAATTATTTTTTTTTTTTTTTTAGATGAAAAAGAAAACAGGCTTAGCTTTAGTGTCAATTCAAAACTCAATGATGGGTTTATGAGATTCTGTGTTTGCTAGATTATTTTTATTACAATTTAAAGCATTTTGATCTTTACTGTTTATCTAAACTCACTACCAAATGAAGTCTCCTGCTTTCAACAGTGAAGTGAAATAAAGAGTTTAAGTTACTTTAGTCTCCAGAAATAAACGGTTTTACGCGCAGCAGCAGTTTGGGCACCACATGGAAACCGAAACTAAAACTGTTTCAAACAAATCTCAGTTTAGAAGAGGAAAATAAGAGTTTATTCTGAACTTCTCTTACCTTATATAGGGGAAGACAATGTCAATATCACGTCTTAAAACGGCGATGACAAAAGAAATGATGAAGGTGGCGGAGGACCAGATGCCCAGGAACGCCGGCAGGGCGCACAGACCTTGTTGGAACCAGAACATCTTTACGCGCCACTTTTAGGAAACTTTGTCACAGAGAAGAGAAAAAAAAGAACAAAAAAGAAAAAATATATATATACATATATATTCCGCGTCTAATTCCTAGAACAGTGATGTGAACAGCTGCTATACTGTCAGGAGTGAACTTGCAGCACGTTAACTGGAACTTCCTCCCCAAAAGCGACTCCTCGTGGACGCGTGATCATCATCACACATCTGTCTGAACTTCTGCCTTTTTTTCTCAGATATACTGTACTTAAAAAAAATTGAAACAAATATTCATTAAATAAAAAGATCCAACAGGGCAGTGGACCTCCTTTGGACCTGGGCTGAAAGTTTTGATCACTTTAATAGAAATCTTGGTGTCTTAATCACACTTTAATATTTCTAAACACTGGATTTCCTTCAGCCCATGAGTCAGCAGATTGTGCACGATTTGCAAACCATATGCAGACCTTAGTTCAGTAAACTGGGGAATAGAAAAAGAACAAAAAATTCAATTTTTTTTTTTTTTTATTCCAGCAACAAACTTCTTGTATGGTACATTTATGCAAAACAAGATTTTTACAAGTGTATGTCATCACAGCAGTTTGTTGTTTTGTCATCCACATGGATACTTTTATTTGTAAACTGTTGTAAACTGTTTAAAACCTTGCAGCTAGGGTGGCCAACAAAGTATTCTGCGCATAAGAGCTAGTAAAGGTTGCACATTTTCAAAAACAGGAAAATCACAGGTAAAAAAAACCCAGCCTGGTAGGTTAATATGAATATAACACTGATTTCACTATCATATTTCAAGTGTTCACACTTAGACTCTCATTAGTAACAAATTGTATAAGAAAGAAGATTATAAAAAGGTGCATTCAGCATGCTTTAGCTATTACAAATCTCAAACTGAAGGCCGTACAACAGAAACTGCCAGGCTTTAAACAGGTGGTAACTCTTTAAATGTTACCAACATTGCTTCTTTAGTAAAAATCAGCCTTGAAAAGAAGAAAAAAAAAAAACCACAACCCTAAATGACAGAAAAGCAAAAACTAAACCAATATCTGGCTCTGGGTGTTACACAAGCATTGCCTTCATGGAAAAAATAGACCATCATGAACCAAAAGTGTCCTTGTCGGAGTTCAAAACTCAGCTCGGATTTGTGACCGAGTAGATGTTTGCTCCTGCAGCGATCCAGAGTTCACATTAAAGTGCTGTAAAGTTTGATTTTTTCTCCTTCAAATGTTGCACATGGTGTGTTTTAATCAGCAAATATAGCTCACATGCATTATCAACCGTCTGACGCCATCTATCCCGTCACTTAACAGCATGTTTAGGTAAAAATATACATTTTAATGCTTCTTTTCTGAACTACACTGTGAAATATAATAAAACCTACTTATCAACATATATATATAATAGCTGTTGTAAAATCAACCAGCTTGTTAAGACAAATCCAAATACAGAAAAGGGCAAGTGTCGGAGACGTTAATGAGCCAGTAGCTGAAAAACAAGAAACGTGAACTCAGCACAAACGTTAGATGAAACATTAAGATTACAGAACTTCTCCTGGGAGGTAATTCTATTTGAAGTATAGCGACGTGAACTGGTTGTTTCTAAATGATCTGCAATAGAAAAAAAAAGAAGAAAAAATACACAAGGAAAAGGAAATAAAAATCAAATATGCAAATCATAGGGGTCAAAGTTTGGTAGTAAATTTTCAAACGGTGGCCAAAGGCGACTAGATTTATACTCAAAACATCAATATATTTTACATGATCTTTGGTGGCATGTCAGGTAAAGGATCAGGGAACATGGCAACTATTATTGTACACAAACATTTCAAACACTTTTTTAATTAATAAGTAGGTCGAGCAGTGATTGATCATAAAACACAAAGAGAACACAAGCATGCAAGACAATAAAAACTAAGGCGAACCAGCAAAACAAACATGAGGAAGGCACACCATGGTACATATTCTGAATTTTAAACGTGTAACAAACAGCAGCAGCCAAGAGTAAAAAAGAAACCTGACATGAAATAAAATGCAGAAGAAAACAAAATGTGGTCTAGACAATAAAGCAGGAAGCAATGCTTTTTGAAGCACACAAAGCAAAACGTGAAGTGGATTAAAAAGAAGAATAAGGACATTTAACATGGACACTGAAGAAGAGAATCAAATAACTTAAAATTAGATGTTGTTTTTAAGCTTTGTTGGTTTAGATGCCCTAGAAAATATTGAGACTGGGGTTTAAGGTGCAGAGTTTGAACATCTGCTGCTGTTTTTTCAGTCTTCACCTCCTCAGCAGCTTCTCATGAGGTTGAGCGCACCAATACATCGGATTTTCATTTGTCGCTGGAGTTCATTGAGACTTGCCAGGCCCTGGCTTGGCTGCATCCTTAAGAAATGTTTAAGTGAAAAGACCTTTTTGTTTTCCTGTCATGCTTGTAAGGCTCTTCATGCAGGAAGGCAAAAAGAATGCAGGCAGGCCAGAACCGCCACAGTCTCTGAGCAACAAACTTATAGTTTAGCTGAGAGAATATTTGCTGTAACTGAGAACGTGATTAATCCTTAAAGAATGCTGTTGGACTGATCACACAGTTTACAGTATGTGACAAGAAGGGGATTAAACATCATACAGGTGTTTCCAAATTGTATGAATGGAACTCCAATTTCATGTTGAGCAATGGGTTTTTACGTGGGGCAGTTTTGTTAGGATTGTGCAATCGTCTTCTTCCGTTGTCTCTCCACGTAGATACAAGAAACACCTGCTGGGTTTAATTACTTCTCTGATCTTAAGACAAACATTCAATTTATTTTGTAAAAATTACTATCAAGACAACGGCACTTCTTCAGCATATACTTTTTAAAATTTTAACAGCTACTATCAGCTTATTGTATACAATGAAACAATGTACATTTTGTATATTGTAGAAAATGTACACAAATATATTATCTAGGTACAGTGGTGGGATGAAACTAAGTACAAATACTTGGTTACAGTAAGTACATTTTTTTGTGTATCTGTACTTTACTTAAGTAGAGTTAAATGTGGGTATTTTATACTTTTACTTCACTACATTTTACATCAAGTATCTGTACTTTCTACTACACTACATTTCTATAACGCATTGCATTACAAGTTACATTCATGTTGCGGCTTTTTGATTTGTTTGTTACTTTGAAAGTAACCAATGGTGAGAGGGGAGCTGGTCCATTGCACCACTGCAAAGTGGACAGGTAACGTTAGGCCCGCCTTCAAGAAGAGCTGGGACAATGACATATATTCTAGTATATATGTCACTGAGCTGGGAGCACCCGCAGCACCACTAATACACCCAAAATGTATTCCACCGCAAGAGAGTCAGCCAGAAGAAATGCTCCACCCATGTCCTTATTGAATGACTGCTCAGTACAACAGGACAGATTCTCTCTCCCAAAAGAGCCAGACTGGACTCAAAAATCTTTGAAAACCAACTTCTTCTGAACTTGAACAAGAAATTCTTGCTGCAATATTAAAATGTGTCAGTTCATGATGGTTGGAGACAAGAGACGTTTCCAAATGGCTTGACACTCAGGTCCAAGTTTTAAAAATGGTGTCAGGAAGTTAAAATATTGTTCAATATTGACCCGTTACAAGGTTGAATAGACAGTATTTTAACTAGAGTTGATGACAAACTGGAAATGAAATATCAGTGGAAATCATCAGAGCCTATTCCTTTGTTAGTTGTGTCTAATGCTCCTTTTTTCAGACAGACAACTTTTACTTAAATGTGTTTACTGTAGTTAAAATGACACATTGGTTTGTGTTAAATAAAAACTTTCAAAGGTATAATCATTCCTCTTTCTTATTTTGATTAATGGCATTTAACTCTGCAGGTCATCCCTGAAATTCTGATGCACAGAATCACACGTCCAAGTGTGAACTGTGTCACAGAGTAAACACAATAAAAACATGTATTATCTGCAGCATTGTTCATTAAAATGGAACACTATTGATGTAGTACAGAAAATATACATATGGTACACAGACTTAAAGATATGTAGACCATTACATTAGGTAATACATTCAGCAAGTACTTTTACTTTTAATACTTTAAGTATTTTAAAAGCAAGTACTTATTTACTTTTACTTAAGTAAAAATGTTAATGTGGTGCTTCTACTTTTACTAGAGTACATTTTTGTCTGTTTATTTGTACTTTTACTTAAGTACAGTGTTTGAGTACATTCTCCACTACTGTCTAGGTACGATTAGTGACAACTGGGGTAGCAATTATTTGCCAGTGACAGCTGCCACTTGTTGCCATCCCCTAGATCCACCACTGTACATGTAACTTCTCAATGACGACACGCGGGCACGGCTTCTTTATTTGAAA